AAATATGTTCACTACTTTTTGAAGCATTATTTGGAAGAGATACTGCTGTACTTAGCCCAATAGTTCCACTAAACTGAATCCAATTAACAACTGCAATTTCTACTTTTAGACTACATTATTTTTAAAAATGCTATTTTATAGCATATTTCTAGTGCGATCTATTTTTCTCCTACCACTATTAAGGAGTTCACTGTTCCAATTTAAACAATCCAAAAAATCCAATATGTTTCAGGCATTAAACCAATTTTGCAATCTTCCCCACTTAGTCACTTGCAGCAACTTGATTTTGCAATTTATTTTTCTTTAATCAAATGTCACTGACTTTTGCCAAGTATTCACACAAGGGGTACTTTCTTGAGTTCAGAAAGGTACACAGGAGCTACGCAGAACACAACCAGTCATGAAGATTTGGAAAGATGCACTAACAAAACCAAACTCTTCCTTCAATGTATTTATAAGCGGAATAAAACAAAAGCAGTCAAGTTACATAAACAACATATTCCAAGTGTTTTCTTTAGTATTACAAATAGCAAAAAAATATTCCAAGGCTACAGAGCTGAGAAAATAAATGTAGCACCAGAATATAGCTAACACTGGATGGAGGTTGTTACTAGTAGACCTCTGGTTGTCAGTATCATGCCAACTTCTCCTTCTTGCCCTACTGCTTTAGATGGCTATGCTTCAGTCTTTGGCTTCAAGTGAAAGAGAAGAAATGAGTATAAAAGTAAGGTTCCCTGGCTCCGAGACGATTAGAGTGTGAGAGAAAGCTCCCAGCATCTTCCCACACTGTGGAACATGCAATGGCACTCCATTCCTTGCGGTAGTACACTCCCCATGTTAGCTGGATTCATTTAAATAACTTCAGTAAATGTGTGCATTTAAAAGCAAATTCTTTTCCAGAAGAGCATCCTTAAAAACACAACAAAACAAAAACCCTAAACAAAACAAATAAACACCCCACCAAAAAAAGGACAAAGCTCAAATCTCTTTCAGTGCATCTACCAGCAGTGCCCTGTGGGGCAAGGGGGAAGACGCCTATTTGCCATGTCATTAATCCATCCAATTTTCTTTGCTAACCTCAGTTTCACACCATAAAAGCAATAACCACAAGGAGCCACTTAAATGCACTTTGAGACCAACCAAGTGGCAGGCTGGAGACTTTCTTCCCTGCTCCTCAGTCTCTAGGGACAAGCTAGGATCGAACTACATCTCACCCCGACTTCTAGCAAGCTCTTCTGCTGGGTCACACCAGTTGGGTCACTAATACTGCTCCCTCTCTCGCTGTCTGAGAACCGAAGTGTTCTCTGAGCAACGACTGCACTTCCAATTACCTACTTACTGCATGACGGGTTGGTAAGGAGGGTTTAGCTTGAGGACCCCCCCGAATTCTCATTTTCAGATAAAAACAGCTATCCTACAGTTGGGAAGTAGCAAGGGATTTCAGAAACACTTGCATCAATATCTGAGAGTCCTCTAGCCTTCTCATACCCTATAGATGCTACTTCAAGTTACTGCCACTAGTCCAGAAGAGTTTCGGCTGAGATGCCTGAGAAGACAGTTGATTTCTAAAGAGGCGCTGGGAGAGAAAAGATACCAACAGATCTTAAGATAAAAATCCATATAATCACTGTTAATAATTAACAACCACAATCAGAATAACAACTTGTTCTTCAGATAAAAATTGGCATGCATCATTTTGTTTATCGTTAAAACAAACTTTGTGGCTTATTACATCCCCCCTTCCTTTCTCCTTCCTTCTTTTTTTGTTTACATCTGCAACAGGCTTATATTAAAAATCCACATACTGACAACTTACTTTTCAATATTAACAAGCAAACAGTATTCTTGATGCCAAAAGTTTTTCCAACAGCGCTGACCGAAACAATTACATAAAAATATAAAATGTGCTTAGCCCAGTGAAGCAGAGCAACAGTGAATAAAGACTATGGTTTATTCCTTTGCTTCAAACCTAGAGCAATAGTCCTCTGCAAAACTAGTAAGCCTGAACCCTTGTTTGCATTTCAGAGCAAGAGCTGTGAAGTTGCATTGTAGATAAGGGGAAAGTGAGGTTTGGGAACACAGCGTACGTATAAATCTCAAGTTTATGGTTAAAAAAAAAAATCCACCAACCAGCATTAAAACAGTGTAAGCAATAAAATTTGTGACAACTTAAGACAACCGAATGTCTTCAATCACTCCGTTTGCAGTATACAGGAGCTAAAACACCAAGGGGCTTTAAAGGCAAATTCTGACTCAATAGGGATATTATCACAAGACATCAGCCGCTTCTAATACTGCAACAGCTGGGCAACCTTTCAACTGAGGAATCTCCCCTCTCCTCCAAAAGAAAAACACCCTTTCCTATCATTTTAAAAAAGCTACTGTGAGGGAGAACAAGTACCAACATTTGCTGTGGTTTTTTCAACACAGATGAATTTTCGGACTGCCTACTTTTATATGTAGCATGAAATGTGTATTCCCTGCTAAGTAGGAAAAAAACCCACAGGTAGCTGTATATACCTTTCAACATTCAGAGAGTTCAGTTACAGAAGTTCACAGTTTCAGGGTATCTACAGCAACAGAACTTAAAGTCTGAGTGGACAGTAAAGCAAGTGAAAGCATAGCTACCAAAAAAAAAGTGCATCTACACCTCTGTAAACCTTTACATGCTACCAGCAGTTTCGTTCCCGAGATGGAGACTTTTCACTTATGCCACATACTGAGCAGGACTAAATATTTTATTCAGAAATGAAATCAATTACATTATTTTAACAACTGAAAGAATAACTGTATAAGCAAAAGTAGGAATTCTTGTTTTTTTCCCCAATCCATTCCTGGCTGTACCTACCAAGTCAGTGGGTATGTCAGCATCTCATTACTATGACCCAGCTGCTTGTGAGTCTGCTCAGTGGGTAGCTGAAAAATTAGTATTTTCTTCTGTCTTCCTCTCGTTTTGAAAGACAGCATTCATGAACATTTGTTACATTACCACCTAAAGTGATTCCTTAGGAGGAACAGCTATCACCAAGAGCTTATAGCAAGACAAATTTTCCTAGACTGCCTTGATAACCAGATTCAATCGAAAATTGTACCAGGAAGGGTAGGTATACACATGCCAATGCATTTTGTTCACAACATCCGAGCGCATGGTTATTTTGGAGCCTTAAATACTTCTAGGCTTGATTCACTGATGTTGTGCCCTGTGTGTGGCTGCAATTTAGCAATTGAGAATTTGGTATAAAAGCCAACAGTAGCAAATCAGAACAGCAGAGATTTTGTACTTGCTTTGCAGTGGTTTGAAAGAACATGTGCGAACAAAAAAAGACTTTTGGTTTATCCAGTCAAGTTTTACCTTGTGTGACCCCCAAAAAGATCTGAAAATGGTTTTATGAAATTGGATTAAAAAAAAAAAAAGTCAGACAAATAACAACTTGTGTTCCCAACTGAGCTTCCCTTACTTTGCGCATGCTTTCATACTGGGATTCACTAATAATTTCAAAAAGATACAGTGTTCCCTTCTTGCTAGATGTTTGTGTATTTACTCACTACAGAAAAGCAGACTTACAGTAGTAGTCAAGCTGGCTGAAAGCTTTTTGGCAGCACAAGTAAAACTCAAGTTTTCCCACCCTAAAGTGGAGAAGCTGGGACTGTGTTTCTTAGGGCTGAAAGGAGCATGGCTTGGGAGAGCACTCCAGGGCCAGGCTCATGCTTTTGCTGCTCTTGGGAGGCAAAAGATAACCGATGGAGCACTGCTCTTCCTAACCTTCAGACTCTTCAGGTGCTCCTACAACTGCAGCACCAAGAGAACATGAAACAGACAATGAACATTGCCCATCACATTACTTATAAATGCTTTATAATCCATGACAATTAGCTATATGTGGATGGACAAAATATAGTCAAGTATCTCCTGTACACTTTCTGATATTTAAAATGGAAAAATTGTGAAAATTCATTAAAATAAAGACATTCATTATCTGCCCATGTTCATCGCCTAACTTATGCTAAAATTCCACTTGCTATCTGGAGACCTATACTGTCATTCACAGAAAATTTAATCCAGTATTTCTCTCCAGACTGTGTTCCTGAGCTCTTGGAATCACTGTCTGCTTTGTTTGTGAAGCAGACCTGCTGGGTTCATTCATCTTCTATTATGCCAAATTTTTTGTTTTTCCAGAATAAAATTGGATTTACATAAAAATACAACAGCCCGCAGAATCCATCTTGTATTTTTCAGTTGTTTTTCAAAGAGGAAGGGATTTAGAAATGTGGTTTAAAACATTTTGTTTGAACAGGACCATCCACAAATATAATCCCGAGGTACTCTGCAATACGGTTACCACTGAAATTAAAAATCACAGTTTTATATTCAGTATGGAAACATTCATCTTTCTGAATACAGAAAGCCTGCTGATTCCACAGTTCTGGGACACATATATTAAATCATTCAGATCACCGATTGTGCCGCTGTCTACCCATTTGTTACATTCTCAGACGAGCTGCAGTGGAAAGAACAACTGGAAGGTCACAGTTACTAGGAAAGAAGAATTAGGGCTGAGCAGAATAGAAAGACGACAGGAATCAGGCTGAATTTATTAAATCAGGGCTTTCTTTGCTTGGGGGGTAACAAAAACCAGTACATGCAGTACTGTTCCTACCCAGAATGCATCCCATGATGGGCAGCTCACCAACTCATATTCACTCACATTGAGTCAAAGATTGAAGAAGTACAGTCTGGCCTCATCAGGTAGATAAAAACAACGCATTCTAAAAACTGCATTTTGGATTGAAAATAGCCTTCTATGTAAAAGAAAAACTTTACGTTTCTTATGAAAGCTAGTCTGTTTCTAACACACAGTTAACCGATTTCTGAAGCGTTACAGCCACGCCAATCCTCCACAAAAGGAGGTAGTAATTTTTTAGGGAAGTTCCTGCAGACAAGTGACAAGGTCACTTGGCTCCAAGGGCAGAGGAAGACCAGTAGAACCATATCACTTTACCTTTGTAATTCACTAAGCGCTCTATTTGTGGATGGGCTAGGATTTAGCCTCAGGAAGTTCTGCTTTAAATTGAGATGAGTGAGGTCTTGGCTATAAAACAGGTTGGCAGGCAGGTGCTCCAGGCTGCAGCATGAAAGATCCACTGAGCTTATGCGTTGTGATGCAACCTGGAAGTCAAGAGGTACACCAATATGTTAATACTGTAATAAAACAAGAACATTTCCTTCATCCCTACTAGCACAAGATAAACTGTTTTTAAGCACAGCAGAAGTCAGTGACAGCACATATAGCTGATCTAACATGGTTTACATCATGGCTGCACGTTATGCCATGACCTCTTGCTTTGCCTCAGCACTAAAACCAGGTCCACAGATGGCTAGCAGGGGGAAAAGTGCAAAGGTTTGTCAGACTAGTAAGTGAAATGGATTAATTTTCATCAATGAAGTTAAGCGATAGTCTACAACCAGAAAAAAAGGTAAGAGACTTGATATAAACATTAGTTTAGTCCTTTAGTTAGCAAGTAACAGCAGCAAAACCAGTGCAGAAGCCTCCTATACCCAAGTGAATGGGGGCAAGGGGATAACAGTCATCATCCTATCTCAGTTTTAAGGGTCAAAAGCATGTATTAAAAGGCAGAAGAAAGAGTTATCCCTTTTATATCTCACTGGAGGAAAAAAAAAACATCACAGCAACAGCAGCAAAACACCGAGCACTCATCTCTTTCTCAATGAATTAGAAAACTGTCTAAGGGTGATAAAAATGTGACAAAACCAAAATGGATATTTGGGGGTTTAACACTGTTTTCTAGAAAGGGGAAGGTAAAACACACACAGTCTATGGAGGCTAAAGAAATTATACCACCTAGCACTACATATAGCTAGCATCATTCCACAGATACCTACAGGCAACCAATTAAAGTAACAGCAACTCTGCTCCTTACCAAATCTCTAGGATACAGCTGGGTGAACTACATCCTGCTTATTTACTAGTCTTTATTTAAAAAAGAAAAACCCAAACCACATTGCAACGCAGAATTCTTCTGTTTTCTGTCCAATACTACTAAAGATATCCTTTCCTAAAGTGAAGTCATGGAGCTAGCTACACAACAAAGCACCACCACATAGTAGTACAAGGCAGCGAGGACGGTGGGCAAGGAGGAGGGGACAAATGCTAGAGGGATGAGAGGTGGTGGTGTAGCGGGCATGGCTTAGATCAGAGGAGGAGGAGCAAAGAACTTCACCATTTTAGACTTCTGGGACTGTACAAACAGCGCTCAGTTACATGTTCTGTCGGCTACTCACTGCAAGACAAGCTATCATACTGGCCTCACGCTAGGATTCTGGAAGTACAAACACTACGTCTAAGGGACAAAAAGAGAAAAAACCCAACAATTCATAATCCATGCGCAGTGACTCTGTAAGAGCTTCTGAACTCTGATGAAGGAGACACCACCCAACCTTCTGGGCAGAGATACAGCCCTTGCCATAAAGCACCCTGAACCTAGCGACATCATGTTTTGCTGGCATAAGCTTGCCACTGAAAGGAAGGCCAAGGAGTTTTTTCTTCCTTTCCTCTCCAGTGCAAGCTACACAGGCCTCAGGATAAGTGATCTCTATTACAAACACACAGCCATAAGCTTTGAGTGGAACAGACGGTGCAGTGTTTTTCTCTAATGCAACCATTAATAATCCAGTCCTCCCACATCCATTAAAACGTTCAAATTTTTGTTACTCAATTAGTTCAGTCCTTTTGTTACTGCAGCTACTATTTTTCTTCCCCTTGTAGTATTAGACAAAAAATTATTCATAGGCTATTCTAAGCAGTCGTTTCTGAAAGCCAGGTATTCAGTCTATTTATGGTGCCAAAACCTGCCTGGTACGGTACAGTTCTCATCACACTGAAAACACAAGAGATGAAAAAGCGCTGACATCTGTTAAATTAAAAAGGAGAATGTGTAATTTCAGGTGTAACGCTTACATACACTGTTCCTTCAACTACTTGTTTGGAACGTGATATGAACAGTAATAAGCAACCCAGCAGTGCTTAGCAAGGCATGTCACACTAAAAATATCTAAAGTACCAGAACTGGTAACTCTGAGCGTGAACTGTGATAACGTAACCAAACAAATCAAAATTCTACTCTCATCTCAAAAAAGGATGCAAATCCTTTCTTAAAATCATCAAGCCCCATAAAAAAAAAACCCCTAGTTAAAAGTAATTTTGTTTTTAAAAGTTGTATGTTCTTGTTATTTTTTGTTTGCTTGGTTTTTTTAAAGGAATCACTTCGTTACACAAAGAATTTCATGCAGTTGACATATATTCAATGATGCCTCTACCACAGCGATAACTGTAAAAGTTAAAACCACATTTTAAAAGGTGCAAGTTCTGGAATCAACTATAGTTTTATCGATTTTGTTGTTGTTGTTAGGAAGACAGTAGTCTAAGAATTAACTCCTGAATCATTACAAGGAATACTCATAAACACAGTTACTCTCACAGGCAGGGATAAAGACCTTTCTCTTTTCATTGCTCAGTACTGTTATGTAACAAATTCCTAGAGAATAGAGGAACAAGACGAAAAACAAAGAGTGACAAAGGAGAACAACATCTTAACAATACTTTCTTTGGTTCACCAGGAACTTTCATCAGTTGTTTTGAAGTTGAGTATTGAAATTCTGAAGTGATATTGTTCCCAAATCGAACAATAAAGGGATACTTCAATCTTGCAATCACCTTCAATTGACTTAAATGCAGTAAGACTATGAATGTGTGTGTTTGCCATTGTTTATTAAGGCAACACATTCTTCTAAAAGATGATACAGGTTTTAATAAAGCATTGGGTTTCCCTGACTCACTGGGGAATCACTGCAGAGATATGCTGATAAAGGGTAAGAAAACGCTGACTAGAATATCCCTTAGAGTCAACGAATAAAAAGCATCTAAAAGAAGGGACATTATCTGCAGAAAGTAGAGTTTCCACTAGAATGAAAAAACCCCCCAACCCAACAACCCAAGACATTCCACTGTAAATAAATACCCCAACAAGTTATCTGGACTGGGTTCAACAGACCTGTGCTCCAATAAAAACACGGAAGAGCCAGTGTGATAGCAATGCTAGACAGAAAGGCTTTCTAGATATATGTAGAACCTACATCAAGAGTTCATTGTGGCTTATTTGGTGTTTTCTTTTGGAAAACTCAAAAGTATCACTGTGTTATATGCTTTATGTACACATCTAAAAACAAAACACACAAGCAGCACAGTTCATGATTCCCCAGACAGAAGCTGCCATTGCCCAGAGCAACCCCTCTAGAATGTCTTCTCATGTCCTGAACTGCATGCATCCTTAATGCTTGTTTTCACATGAAACCCCTGTTGCATTTCCAGTACTAATAACGTGGGGCAAAAAACTGGGGGTAATGACCTTCTTGGAAGATGGTGTGTGACACCCTCTCAGTTACAGCAGCTACAACATAAGCTGTAGAGTCAACGCCTGTCTTTGCCAGAGAAGACACGCAACACTTACAGTGGTGTAGCTCAAACACTGAGCAAGATCTTGTACTCTTTGAAGTACTTTTCAGTTGGGATTTTTAATCATCACAAATACAGAGAAACAAGATGAACATGTGGCTTTCTCCATCCCCTCAATATGATTTTTAAACACTTCATGGCCAATCATTGTATTGCAATGTCTCCCATTGTAATACTAGAGGAGTAGTAACAGGGTAAGGCCAAGCGCAATCTTGTACATCAAACCACAACATCCAATGGAAGCCTTTTTTTCTCCAGTTCCTGTTGCAACCTCAGTTATGCAGCCCTGGCCTACAGTGTTTTAAGTTCAGTGGTTTGTTTGGTTTTTTTTTTTTTTCTGGTCTCTATGTGAGTATGGCATACTGAAGTGCAGTTTTGAAGAAGTGGTATACAACTATAGCACATGTACTACTAAGAGTCCTGGATCTACCCACTGCAAACACCAAACGGCTGTCATCATGCTTTTAATTTTCCCCTGGCAGCAATAAAATGCAGATTTATTCCATGAATACCACCACAAATAATGCTGCCGGAGAGTGCTCTCCCTTCCTCAGGCAGTACACCTTCTGCTACTCCCCACCTAAGACCTGCACGTGTGGCAAAGAACTAGGAGTCTCCTAAATATGAAAACTCATTTTTAAACATGTTACTTGTGCCAGAAGAGTACTTATAAACAACAATTCACAAAAGCCAGCAGTACCTTAAGAAAAAGGTTTTGTCAAGGTGTTCCCATTTTTTTAAAAAGGAAAAAATTTAACAGTATTTCAAGACTGGTGAAATTCTGGTATGGGTTCACTGTAAATCTTTAGCAGCTGGCAATAAAAATACAGACAAATACTTGTATCAACCAATATTCTTGCCTCTTCTTGCTATACAGGGCTAAAAAACCGCTTTGCTTTGTCCATCAGTATAATGCCACCTCTGTCACCGAGCTATACAACAAGACTGATTACCGTCTTTGTTTTAAAGCCTTGGCTATACTACAAAAATGATCTGTTGCTGACAATGGATGTCAGCAATGGGCACAGCTGAACCCAGCTGTATGGACAAACACGAGCCTTGTTTACACGAGGACATCTTTTGGTGTGATCTGTGGTATGAATTTAAACCAATGTAATTATGTCTTTTTCCTGTTTACCCTCATCCCATTCCCCATAGCTCTATTCAGATAAGAAATTACTATTTAGGACTTCAACAGAAGACAATTAAAATAACTAAACAGCCCACACGGTAAAGGCAGCCAAATTCCCAGTCTGTTTGAACTGAGTTGATGATGTTAAATTACACCTGCTGTAGACATGCTAATGCAAAGGCAGCGTGATTTTTCTCCTTTAGGATTTGTTTTTAAACAGTTTGATAATCATCACATCCCACCAATGCATTCATAAGGCTTAACTAAACAGCGATACGTACGCTTGAAATATCTAAACTAACCGCTTAGCGCAAACAGGTTCTCCTCAAAACTAACCTTGCTTCAAATCCTAATCCTCCTTTCTGTTCGAACATCAAAGCCCCGCTCGGCAGAGGCCTCCCTCCGCTGAGCTGAACTCCACAGCCAGGAAACACATCGGTGCCCTCAGTCGCAGCCAAGAGCTGAGGAAACGTTCAGACTAGTAAACAAGCTAATGCCAAAATC